GCTCCTTAATTCTCTTCTCCGGCAGGCAAAATGTKGTGGTGAAGTGCAAGGTGTCTTCCCAAAGGGTTCACCTCTCTGCTTTCGATGCCRCAACAGAAGAGTTAGGATCACATAGGGGATAGGGCAAAAACTGCCCAGGGTACAAGCTGAGGGTTAATAAGCTACGTGACAGCCCAGCTCCTCTCACAGACCTCCTGTGCTACCACAGAAAAATCACTTACCRTTTTGTATTATTACATATACTAAAGTTGTCACCTGCAAAAGCCTTGTTTGGAATAAGATCATTAAACTGTTAAATTGAGCACTGAGAATGGCACACGGGAGCTAATTTATTTTACACTGTGGGATGTCCAAGCCCTGATAACCCAACAAAGAGGAATTATTAAAGAATTATAGCAACCCTGAGAGCATGAATAAATTGAGTTATGTACAGTCTCATATTAAACCATTTAGGTAAAGCCAGCACAAAAACCTCCTAGGGGCAAAGAATCATGAGTGTGTAAAAAGGTGTGGGCTTAACCCAGATGGTCCCATCAGGAGGGCACATACCCCCTGAGAGGACTTTCTTGACCTTGTGTGTTAGTCTCAATGGTCCTTGTGAACAGGTTCAAGCAATTTCTTCGAAGTAATGCATATTAACTTGAAAGAAATTAAAAGGGTGTCAATCAAGGCATACCAAGGCCTCTTTAAATATTAAGTGCAATGTTAAATTGTGAAGAAACAGCACTACTGCTGAACAGTTGCAACAGGAAAAAAAAATACTGCATCGTGGTTATGTACCAACAAAGATTTCCCAAATTTGGTCCCCARTGGGTACTAAAGCCTGCAAGTGGAAATGGGAATTACGGTGTAACTAGAGAAGCTGGATCACAAGCAAAAAGTTGCAAAAGCAAAAGGCAAAGTACTAAGCTGGTAGGAATTTCACAAGCTTGACTGTGTTGCTTAAAGTACTCAGGTTGATTACATCTATAAGAAATAAAGTATATAAAATTAAAACAGAAGGCTAATAATTTTAGCTATACAAGTTATTATACAGGTACAGCGACTGAGAAACAAAAAAGAGAAATAAATTAAACACTGATAAAAAAAATGCTAAAGTATGTACAAAGAAAGAACCTCTTAAAATTTCTTATGCACGTCTAGTTATAAAAGATGCTGTTAAAACTTCTCAGCCAGAAACAGGAAAATAAAAAAGTGAGAGAGAACAGGAAAACAAGAAAACAAGAAAACAAGAAAACAAGAAAACAAGAAAACAAGAAAACAAGAAAACAAGAAAACAAGCAAACAAGAAAACAAGAAGTGTCTGTTGCTGGGGCAAGTTATCAGCTCAGGTCCCAAGCACCTGAGGTTGTAACACACAGGTGAAGGAAATGTCACGTCCGAGGATAAAAGAAGGGTATGGGAGCCCTTCATAACCCACCAGGTACCAGGAATTCCAGTTTCAGCTTAGTTAGTTCTTTAATATCTTTACTAAATCTAAGGCAAAGGAAAACCTGTGACTACTTGCCCCTGCACTCCCTCCCTGATCACCTTCACTGCAGCTGCTAAAGGAACATTAGGATGTTATCTGCTTATCTGTGTTAACTGTAAATTATTAAAGCAGAAGGGACAGGAGTAACCTGGGACGTATTCCAACAAGGTGTTCTGCTTTCACTGACAAAGCTTCTCCATCACTTCCCTCTTCTGCCTCCCTCTGCTCTGTCCCAAAAATAGACATTACATAAAATCCTGACAGTCTGTTCTGTGACACACAGAGGCTCGGGTCTGAGCTCATCCTCTAACATAACTGATTCATCAGCACTGCAGCACTTCATTGGGTTTAGCGGGAAAAACAACAGGACAGAAATATTTTCTTCTCCAAGTATGAGCATAGCAATAAAATTTGTAAGTGGACAATGCACCTAATGCAGCAGCATAGGAAACTTCATAGGAATGAGCTTCAGATATCTTTAGGCTTAAAGTACTTGGCATCTAACACACTAAAATCCATCGTATCAGGGAAGCAGAGGATATTGTTAGACATCTGTGCTAGTTTTATTTTCTAGCTGCTAACTGAAAAGCTTTGATTGTCCTAGATACTTTCTCAGTCTTTCATAAGGGACTGTAAATCTACACGTAGGCATAGGAGAAAAAGGATTACGTTTTGTTTAATCRACTGAAATACTTTACACCATGGGAGGATCCCGGGAGGTTCCCAGTCCTGCAAAACTGAAGGAGTCTCTGAATTTCATGTAGCTGAGGGGTGGTGCTGCTTGAAGGGGAGCTATTCACACAGCTGGGACAGGCAGCTTCTCCAGACCGGAATCTGTAGGCTAGAGATGACTTACAGAATTGTTAATACATATTTTTTAGATGAAAAGAAATGCTCCTTCATTTAGCTGATATTAGCACAAGGTGAGCATCAGCACCATGTACTTTACAAACTTCTTATACTTTACAGACTTTCCATGACTTTTTGGAAAGGAGAAGAGGTCACCAGTTTTGGATTGCTGGGATATCATTGCTGTAATCTTTGCGGGCTAACACCAGCTCCAGCTTAAGAACCTTTCCAATATTTTGCCATGTATTTTCCATCTCTTGTCATTTATAAAAGTTGGGTATTTTATTTACATTTTTATATACTTTACCAAAAAAAAAAAAAAAAAAGCTTACTCTAGTAGTTTTTCTGCCAAATAACACACTGCAATTATCTGTATATATTTTACAACCTRGAGCTGTCTTGCAGTCAGAGAATAACAAAGATTAATATCCTATGCTTTAGTACTTAAATACTACTTCATTTTATTAACATTTAAAAAAAATCAATTCTCAGATAAGTCAATCCAAATATGAAAAGTATTTTCTAAAATTTAATGGATTTTAGAATTATTTTAATGCAAAATTACTGTTCATACAAACACAAATCCTAAACATTCAAATGATACATTAATGATACATTTTTTTCATTGCTTGTTTTAAAATTGGAGAATAAGAATGTTTGGCAGTAAACTGGAAGAATGGACACCCTGATCAACACTGGCTAACGCTGATCTAGAAAGAGCCTTTGCTCCCAACTAGAAAGCTTCCCTGTCTTAAAAGGTGAGTGATTATTATATTTTTATATGGAAGTTCTGAATGGTCATAAATAAATCCGTTTAGAAGAGGACCTGATGTTAGCACTTACAGGTYCAGTTTTGCAGTGGAAATATTCATGGGTCTTGGTAAGACCTGAAGTCTTCTGAAGTCTCCTGTGTTAAAGAGAGAACACCTGCACTCCGATATGGATAAAAGAAGTGGAATTGCATAACAGTTCTGCTTGCCCTGAGCCTACGTAACAACCTTTATTCGTGTGATAGATCTCTGTAGACTACTGCAGTTATTCACCCAAGGCAATACTCTGAGATTACATTCTACATCTGTTTTCTTGCATCGATATAATAACATGGTAAATCTCAAATTGTTTTAATGAAAAGTCCAGTTTTGTTTTTGTCTTCTGTATAAAGTGCTACTTTTCCTTGGTTTACAAAATTGCCATCAAGAAATCCAACTGATTTTCCACTTACATTATTCTAGAAGCTAATATTCCATTTTCACCATAATTTAACAAAAGATATTTCACATTCACAATAGTTTACAATGAAAATAAGCTTTCCCCTCTCCTACAGGAAACCAAAATATATAAGAATTAGCTCTGCTTCAAAAAACATTTCTTGAAATGGATTTTCTGCCACAAAATGACAGAAAATGACAGATTTCTTCTAAAAGAAGTATCAAAAGCAACACAGACTAATAAATAGAGTGAATTAAAACATAATATATAGAAATAAATATTGTGAGATGAGAATATTTCCTTCTAAATACTAGAACTAACTCCAACTCCCCTTGCAGACARGAAGTTTTTGCTGCTGACTTCATTGGAATTTGGCTACTGACGTTCAAGAATTATATGATGGAGTGTAAGGGTCAAACCCAGCAACCCAGTTAGGCAGCGTTGCAACTGCCTCAGCCTACTGTTTATCCCTACTCATACCCTGTTCATACTTTCTTCTACATTCTTTCTTTACCAGATTCCAGTCTGTGTGTACAGCAATTTTATTAACTAGAATGTGACTCGTGCCAGCCACAATCACCTGGTAAGATCATGAGCAGTTGCACTAAGCCCTGTGATATTTTTAAAACCACAGATGTTTGATCCCCATTTGTTTTGGTGGTGACCCAAATGTTGTCCAACATGGCCAAAATGCTGGTGACGATAAATACACAAGAGTGTGTGCAAACTAAGGGCTGCTACGTGTTTAACTGGACTGTGTAATTTCAGCTGTAGTGGATATGTTTTACATGAGCAATATTGGTAAGTGTGAAAACTCAGTTATGCAAACAATGTGTTACATTATTTTAACAGAAAGGTAAGTTCAGCTTCTATAAATGTACATTTTCTGTGTCATATGGGTCATCTCGCTCTTAGTCCCTGTTCTCTGCAAGTTCTGATATCCCACCCCATCTGTACTATCTCATGATAAACAGAGTGACTGGACACAGCATATCATTTAGTTCTGTTGTAACTTAAACCCATTTATGTGAATTTTAGGCTTACATGAAGTTTTTCATAACCCAAAGCTTAAATGATTTGAGAAGAAAATCTTCTTGCATTGCAGAGCAACAAGATGTGCTGTGAGTGCAACAACATCCCCTGCGCAACCACAACTCCAATCATAATGAAACAGATTTTTTTTTTCTTTACACTTAAAATGTGTAACTACATGTCAGAATGTAAGGAATTTAAAGGAATGCTTTGTAAGTAAACACATCCCAAAGCCATTTAGAAGGCTTTAAACAATTTGCCCTAAATGCAATGAACACTTCCATTAAAAATATTTCTCTAGCTTGATTGAGTTTAATAGCTGACATCCAAATCTTATTATGTGTAAATGTTAGTCCATATAAATTCCACTAAAATCTGATGGCAATTAACTTCTTTGCCAGACTTAAAAAAAAAAAAAAAAAAAGAAAAAGAAAAAAAAAAGGAAAAAAACCCTCCACTCTCCAAAATAAAGGTTCATGTGTTAAAAATGATTATAGACAACCTCATATGGACCATTTAATAGGAGACAGAGTACAATGTTGTGCAGCCATACAAGATGTGGTCGCTGTAAAAGTCAGTCCATGGGCTTGATCACCTTCCTTGCGTGCAGCATCGTTGTGCGTCATCGTCACAGTTTGCCAAGTCACTCTCTTGACTGGTAGAATAAAATGTATCCAGACTCGGAATTTTTCGATATGTCAGAGGTCAGACCATAGAATTCCTCAATAGCTTGAGCATCTATTTTCTGCAAAATAAACAAAATCGTTTAATGTATTGCTAGATGAAAGGAATACCAAACATGGATTAAATGGCTTCCCAAATACAACAACAAAATCACGTATCTGTTTCAGGGTATCAATTAGCAAGTTCTGTTGGCAAATCAGGCACTGAAAGGGTGATGTAACAGCTTAGGGGAGAAACTCTGCTGGTCTCACTCATGGAATATTTGTCCAAGAAAACACTGGTAGATTTGGCTTTTCCCAGTCACAGGGACACTTTTGCAATAACAAGAAAGCATAAAAGGGACCTCAGCTTTGTGAAAGGTAACAAAAACCCATCACTTAATCCTGGTAGAGAAGACACTTAATCCTTTTATTTGTATTTTGAATTTCCTTAAATGACTTGTCTCATATGAGTCTGGCATCCTTCCTTCAGACCAACAAGTCATGTGTCATCCATAAGACTATTCCTTCAGTTGGGTACTACACAAACGGAGCAAGGAAGGTCACGCTTTTGATCCCTGGAGTGTGCAGTAACGGTGTAACTGCGATTTAGTGGAAGCGTTGACCACCAGCAAGGTGGACTCATCCTCTCCTGACACCATTCCCACTGATTATTTTGTCCCAATGATTATTTGTCCCAATGATTATTTTATTCCACTGGATTTCCTCCTGGGAAACCAAATGCCAGACTCCACTTTTGCTGAGGTGCCACATAAGGGGTTTGTTTAGGAATAAATTGCATTGTGCTTAGAAAGACTCTGTAATAGCTGCAGACCACATTCTGTTTCATCTTTTTAAACACTTTCTTTTAATTTTGCAGTTATTGAAAATTAAAGATTCTGCACTAACACGGTCCAATTTTGAAGCTTGATATTGCCAAGGGTTGCAAAATAGTCCCTGATTTTTTTTTAGCTTTTAATGAATTAAAATGATTTTATTAGATTTAGAAAACATTCCAAACTAAGTCCCTCAAATCTCATATTAAAACTATCTGATGTTGCACTGAAGTAAAACAACCCCTTCTGACATTGGGAGGATAAGAACTACAAGACTAAACATTTTCCTTCTAATAGCAGTTCCTAATAGACCTGACCCAAGTGCCACATTACAACCAAACTGTRGCTTCTCAGACCAGTATCTAGATCTGGATCATATCTTAACTCCAAACAGAGAAGAGAACATAAACATGAGGGYTCTAGCCCTGATCTTTAGCATACTGACCTCTACAATGTCATCATCAAACAAGAGCCAAAATCCATGACTTTTCACAATAGTAATATAATGCCCCCGATTCGGTCCACTAAAAAGCAAAAAACAAACAACAATAAAAATTAGAAGATACTGTCTGTTTTGATAAATCACATGTCCATGTGCAAACAGACTGAATTATAAATAGGCTTTCTGAAGATCACCCGCCCCTGGTGCTAGAGTGGACATGTTCTTCTTTCCCATTTTATTAACATCTTCATCAACAAAAAGCTAAATGTGTTGCTTTTGATTTGTGCTACAACAATTTACAAATCAACCTACAGAATATTTATCTCATGGCAAGCATTAATGACTGCAAGTATTTTTAAAACAACATAAATTAAATTCAAGAGGAAAAACAGATTGGTAGGGGTCACGAAGCTTTAGCTGCAAACACTCTTTGGGAGGAGGGCACAGCAAGCTCCTGGAGCCCCCAAGGTTTGTGTGGAGACTAGGAGTAGCCAGGCAAGGAAGCAGCCTACCTGCCACAGTGCACAACCACGGCTACCAGGTCGTACATCCGATCCAGGTTGACAGCGTCCCCAGACGTGTTGAAGAGCCGCAGCTCCAGGGGGAAGACCACCCGGTAAGACAGCTTGGTATACCTGTGCAATTGCTCCATGTACTTGAACCTCTTGAGGTGTAAGGCAAGAATCATTGGCAGCTTTTTTACTCTCATCCTGTAGAACGGTCAGAAGGTGCATGATCAAGACCTGGGCTGTTCAAAGGCCTCTTTCTTCTCTACCAGTTAGAGGCTTGCATTATAAAAGCACTTTTTAGACAGATAGAKAGACAGACAGACAGACAGATAACAAGAGCAGCCTATCACTCCCAGCCTCGAAASTGAGAGATGTTTAACAGCTTTGAATCTGTCTACAGATTCTCTGGTCTGCAGGAGTGTGGAAGTAGGGTGGAAGGCTTCTATGTATCTAAAAACTGGTTTTAAAGAGGAGTTTTATCTAAAGTCAGAAGGGACAAAGTGAATTCCCCTCTTTGCTTACCTTTTCTGGGCCTCTTGTTTACTGCAGCAAGTTTCACAGTAGTATTTCTGTTCACTACATAATGTCTCTGTGTTACTGAAGTCTCTGCAAATAAATATAATYATCAGTTCTTAAATGTTCTTTACATCCATGTTTATATGTGCTCTGTACCTTTGCATAAGAGGATCTGTTAAAAACATCTCCAGGAAACTTAACATCAAAGTGAAATAAAAACTGAGGGAAACTGCAGGGCAGATAGATAGAAACTGCTGCTTCGGCTAAGCAGCAAACAAGTTCACTAAGCTGTAAAAACGGTCAATGTTCAGTCTCCAGCAACTATATATCATAGAAATATTGAATAATTCAGATCAAAAGGACCCTGGAGACAAACACTTCAGCCTCCTTTTAGGCCTTGTATTCCAATATGATTTCAAATGCACTTTGAAAACCATAGGGAAAGGTCAGTAATGCTGACACAAACAGGTTCAAAGTAGTGACTACAGTGAAGAGTAAAAAAGTATTAATAACAAAAGCCTGCAGTACAAGTACTGCTTCAATTATCAGTAGCTGTGAACAGGCAGAGATCAAGTTAAAAAAAAAATCTCAGATTAAAAAAAAAAAAAACACTTTATAAAGTATTTTTAAGCACTCCTTTCCAAGGCAAGCCTTTATTTTGCTCTCCTAAGGTCAGGCTCACTGCTGCAAGGACTAGCATTTCTCCAGTGCCCTACGAGGGATTGACCTGAGACTGAGAAGGGGAAAAAAGGGCACTTCTAAATGCAAGGGTTGTTGCTGAGTACGGTTGTGGCATTCACAGCAGGGATAATGAGGAAAATCCCGGCTTTCAGACTCAGGAAGCACTTAGGAGTCCCTCAGATGCTTGCTTTCTTTCTTTGCAATTCTGCTTGGTGTGAGTTGCTACACATCCCTTCCAAAGCACTCCAAAATAACTGGTAAGTGCACTGTCAAAACTGGCAGTAATTTGGGAGCTTGAAAAAGTATTTCCTCCAATCAATATTGTTAACTTATAGCCACAATATATGGTCTTAAACACCTAGATATCAGTTTGTTGCAGTCAAAGCCAAGGCTCCAGGTATTTTAGATCTAAGTAATCATCTATGCAAATTTGAAAATTATTTTGGTGTCCAAAGCATTTTTTTTAATAGTTGAGAGTGTACTAAGAGCAGAACTGAGCCTCAAATAAAAGATTTCTCTCTGTAATTTCAAATGAGTCACAGAATCAGAAGCTCACATGGTGAAAAAAAATACACTTTGGAAATCCTTTGCCCTCCAGGGACTTGGCCTTCATTCTGCAAAATACAAACTTAACTTTTAATATGTGCGTAAGTCCTAATCAGCAAAGCACTTGAGCAGAAGCTTACAGGTAAGCACACTTAAAGCCCTTTGAAGCCAGTGCTTATTCTGCAGCACTTCTTCCAGGTGACAAGGTAATCAATTATTCTCCCCAAGAAGGGATTCTTTTTCTTCTCTCTCAAGCATACACGTTGAAAGAGAAAGCGAGTAAAACGAAGTGCATTAATGCGCATTTTGTCATTTGTGGAAAAAAAATCCATTGCACTGTCTTCTATGCTGCTCAAATAAATAATGCTATTCAATTTCTTTTTTTTTTTTTTTTTTTTTTTTTTTTTTTGGATATTCCAGACCAGGAAATTTAGCCAAGTCAGACGGAATGGCAGTATCCGCCAAAGAGATGCATTCATTTACCTTAGACAGTGTGTAATTGATGTGTTCTGCTCCACATCAACAGAAAGGTCAAGAAAATCTTCATCTTTACTACTAACCTGCAGCAAAAAATATACATGTAAAACAGAGACTTAGCAAAAAGCCATACATTTAAATACTGTTGATATCTGTGTGCGAAAGAATGGAACAATTTTCAGAGAAATACATTGCACAAGTGTTAATGCATTTCAATGCTTAAAAAAAAAAGATCTAGCTCAGTGTGACTATATTCCTTTTGTGAGGCTAGAAACCTCTATCAATCCACTTATCAAAACCCACCGAGCATGGCCTTGTGACTGAAGTTTGCTGTTTGCCATTAAATAAACATGACTTCTCCCCACCTTCCTTTTGGAACAGCCAATTTKCAGCTCCTCTGGGTCTTTTATGCTCTTATGCAAGATACAGCCAAGTGAAAAATATGTTTTTTAAATGCAAGGAGTGAATCTCTCTCTCTTTTTTAAATTGTCCTGAAACTCACGTCCTAGGATGAGGTTGAAACTGATACCTTAAGACTTCTGCCACTTTTAGGTTAAGTTCATACTGCACCACAACACAGGAAATGGAGCTTTTTAAAGAGACATAATGAGACAAACACTATCGTGGGGTGGATAAGTAGAATTGTCATCCCCTAGATGAGCTGTGGCTGATGCAGTGTGCATGTTTCCTTGCTATGCAGCACAGCTCTGTGTTGATTCAGGCCAGTTCCCTATTTTACTGTGTCACGGAAGGAGTGGTGGCAGGGGTGGCAGGAGCTTCATTACTCTGTGTATTTGATTATACAAGCACAGTTTATGCCCTACATAATTATCCTCACTAGTAAGGACACAATGAAGGTATGTTCCAAGGTAGGCAGCTGTTGAGAAATGTCAAATTCAACCACACATTATGTTTTCTCTTCAAAGAGCAGTCAGAAGGTAGACTTTGCATTTCTGGTTGATACAGCTGCATTTCCTCATTTAAGCTTGCTGCTGGACTATAATTTTGACCAGGCTAAACAAAAGATTTAAGATAAATAATGTCAAAGTGATGATATTTTACCAAAACATTTTGATTTTGCCAATGCTTTTATTAGAAGGAGAAGACTTCTGAAAAAGTGTGGGGATTTTTTTTCCATTTTTAGAACAACAGATCTTCATTTTTGCCTTGAAAATGATTTTTCACCTGGCAGGTTTAATTTTGCATAAGGTAAAATAATATAAGTATCTATTCAAGCAGATAATTGTAATATTTCAGCTGAATCTGGAAAGGAACTTCAAGGAAAATGAAGATCTGTTTTGGGTCATCTCAAATCATATACAATACTAACAGTTGTTTAGTATCTAATCACGTTATATATGTGTGTGAGTGTCTATATATATATACACACATAGATATATATGTGTGTATATATATATATAAATACACAAAAAAACAAACAAACCAAAAAACCCACCTCTCTCTCTCTCTCTCTCTCCCCCTGTATATATATATATATATATATATATATATATATATATATATATATATATATATATATATATATATTATATGTATACATAGAGGTGGGTTTTTTGGTTTGTTTGTTTTTTTGTGTGTGGAAATTAAAGATTGAATTAGGACATGTTATCAATTGAGTTCCAAATTCCAGGCTTTCCTCTTATCTATAAAGATAATTCAATCCTTAGGATCCAGGAAAGCCACTGTATGTTTTTTCAGTTCACAGAAATTGCAGTGGAACTACTGCACCTGAATTAGGTCATAGTCATAACAATCAAATCTATTTGTAAAACTATTAAACGAACACTCCACATTCTGACCTGCATTTCCTTAGAGCAACTAGAAAACACATGGGACAGCAATATTCAAATTAAGAGTGTCCATCCGTGGGGTTGGATCTATTGGCCTGATTTAAATCCATGTCCCATGTTGGATCTGACCCACGTTACCCTTGCTTAGATTGCTAAAGCATATGGAAGTTCTGCACTACATTAAGCTCGTCTTTGCATTGTGTCAGGGACTCTATAATAAATACAGTGAATGCAGCCCCCTGAATCCAGGATGCATTTTGATATTATCAGAGACGTACAGAGGTATAAAATACATCCAAATAAAATGAACAACAACTCTTCCAAATAAATCATCTCAGAGACATGAGTCTACCCAAGGAGCACAGAAACTACAAAACTGGTAGCAATCATGGGCAGTATAAACATACAGCTAGAATCCAAGAGGGAGAGCAACAAAGCTTCAGAGATCATCGTGTCTCTGCTGCTGGAACCAAGGAGCAGAGCAAGAACTATGGGYTTAGCACGTCTCAAGATAGAGATTAAATACAAACTCTTTGGCAAAGTGCAGTGCTTCATCAGAGTATCACATGGAGGTTAGGAACTGGTGTTTATTTCAGCAAGCAAAGGATAAAGCATTTACTTAAAGGGGAAAATGACTGAGCTGCTGCTAGAATAATACAGACCATGCAAAAGGTGAGTGGAAACTGAATTCCAGCTGCATTCTTTCTAAGTGGGAAAAAGAACTGCTGGGATCTGAATGATTCTTCATACCATATATATATATTTATATATATTTGTATTTATGTACTATATATTTAAACTTCAGCAAAGTAACACCTTTTAATGCATTTTACTGCTTCCCAAAGGTTTCAAGAGAAAATAAATGCAATAAAAACTGTACAAACTAGAAAAATATACTAAACATAGTATTTCTCCATTCAAAGTAGGAGCCTAACTTTTCTCTGTGACACTTTTTTCTTTTCTTTCTTTTTTTTTCCCCCTAATAGTAAGGTGCAAACTGAGATTGAGAGGACACTTGCAGTCAGATTTTCTAATTAAAACTACTTTTTACTCATAAYTCAGACCTAAGAGACTTCAAACTGATAGCATCCTTTTTAAAATATTAGGAAGATTAAAAAAGAGGTTTGTTATTAACAAACCTGCAGTATGCCTGTCACATTCTTAGGAACGATTAACACAAATTCATCTTAAAATTTTTTCTTAGTAGTTTATGACTATCCCTGTGTCTCATGGAATAATGATTCGATTTTTTTTTTAACTGAAGTTACAATAATAAGGAATGGTATTAACTAAAAAGGTTTTTAACTGTAGAGATATATATTAGGACGGCAAGACTTGGCATAGGTCAGCCAAGTAATGCTTAGAAAAATGTATTTTTAGAAAAGGATATACTCACTTCAAGAAGTAAAGTCTACAGGAATATCCACAATTCTCAGATGTCTGAAAAGATTCACATATTTATATATACAAAATGTGTCTACCTATTAATGGGCAAAACCCAAAGACCCCAACTATCACAATGCTTACGGTTTCACAGTTCAAACATCTAGTTTCGTTAGTCAGTGTTCCCTGAAAAATCTCATGCACCCAGGTGAGTTCTTGTTTATTGTTCTCTTCAGCTTCATTCATGTTGCCGTTTTTCAGTTTTCCATTTTGCTTTTCCTGTTTCTTCTCCTCCTGCAAGATGTCTGCGATGGTGTTCAGCAGGTAATTTAAAAACTCGTGGGCATCCTGCTGCATGTAGTTGTCAAAGAGATCTGTGAAGAAGAGAAGCAAGATTTCTAAAGCTAAGGATATCCTCTCCTTCATGAAAGGACAGTAAATTCATTATTTCTTTTCAAATGTATGTAACTAGGCCTTGCTCAGGAAAGTATTTGAAATCATATCAAAGAAAGCAGTTTTGCAGCCATGGTGACTTTAGTGAATCTGAAGTCAATCTAATTCCACCAAACTTTAGTCCTTTGGAAGGTGAGGCTTTTCTTTGGAGCTAGTTGTACAGGTTCCCAGCACAGCCAATGAAAAAAGCAAGAGGGCAGCTCCTGCCAGGCAACTATCCCTGCCTAAGATAGGTGTGAGAAATCTAATGACTCCAGAGGGAACCTAAATTAATTACTTAGACTAGATGCCTAACTTCAGGCAAGCTGACTCCCACTCACACATTCCAAGTAGCTCAGACACTTCAGAACATAACTGAGTTTGGACAGAAAGACACCCAGCCAGGGAAGCAAAATGCATTGGACACCAACATGTAATAACAGCACCATCTGAAAACGCTCATTTTTCACAAGAGCACAGGAGAAATTTTCCTTTTATGGAAAATTTCCTCATATAGGAGGAAATCCTTATAGGCTTTCCTCATATAGGAAACGCTTGCAGAAGGTGGTGAAAAATATCTTTATGGTGACGGTGAAAGAAAATGGACTTTTTCTCCACRGAAGACTTAATTTGCTCACCATGTTGAGAGGCGGGGGGAAAAAAAAGAAGAAAAAAAAAGAAAAAAAGAATTTGCATTCCCAACAAATGTATATTTTTATCCCTCTGCTCCTGAAAAAGCCCATATGGATTTCCTCGAAAATATTATTTCACAGACTCTCTAGCTTTGCAGTGTCTAGCCTGGACATATGAACARGTTAACCCACAGTGAGTCTGGTCTTAATTTAAGAAAGCTGAAAACATAAGATGCAGTCCCTGAAAGCGATTCCCAACAGTGTAGGGGCATTTATCACTAGATGACTCGGAGCTAACTTTGCCACATTTCAGTTGCCTCCTTTGGAAAGAACAGTCTGCCCCTTTATATGTTGTCACCAGGAAGCAATTCCTTCCAGGTGTTCGACTCATACTCTGCCTCTCCATTCAAAGCTCCCTTGTTTCTAAGCCTGCCACCCACACTGACATGAACCCAGGCCAAAACGCAACGGTGGCAGCCTTCCTGATTCCAAGATGTTCCTCACATCCCTTAAAAACGAATGCCACAAAATCAGGCATACGTTGTTGCTAACTTAATCTTCAAAAAGGGCCTGATGCTTCAAGAAGTTAGACTGTGCCATTAGTAAGAGACTACTAAACTGTGCATTACTCCACCCAGAATGTCCTGACCCATCCGTGAATTTCCGAAAGGATTCTGATTTTGCACTTACCATTCTCTTTTCGTAACCTTGATATGAACTTCTTTGGTGGAATAACCCCAACTTTCTTCTTCTGAGTAGCGATACTGTGGAAAAGGTCTGCCAGGCAAGTCAAGAGATTTTCCTTCTTTTTCTGTTGGGCCTTGTATGATAGCACATTTTCCCGAAACGGCCGGCAAAAATACAATGCCTGCAGCACGGAGTTACAGTAGCAGGTGTTCCCAAACTGCCAAGCAAAAGTAAAAACAGTCTTAACCACTGTGCATCATAATAGAACTAGATGCTTCATTCAACTTCTGGCTTCTGTATGCCTTTTATCATCCAGCTGTTTTATCATGCAGCTGATGTAGGAAGACATTTCCACACTCCCTTTTTTTTAGTTCTTTACCTTTTACCTTTACTTTTTATTTTCTACATTGAGTAGGATGKAAATTATGCCATTACTAAGAAATGCATTTATTGGAGTGAGTCTTGCTGAATCTTTTTTCCACATATATTCCATATATGTTGTGCTCCACTTTATTGCTTGGTAGCAGAATGACTGAGGTTTGCCATAGGAAGAAGCAGTATTGCAGTTTGATTTATATGAGGTTAAACAAGAGATTAAAGAGTCCTTTCACTTCTCCTCTCTTCAGTCATGTAAAAATGATACTCCTCAAGGGGCCAAGATGCAGATTGTCATATCTGAATGTGTACCTCCATCACTTCCTACTAAAAATTAAGAAAAAGACTATTCCTCATATTTTATGGATAAACCAGACTTTTAACCTTACTGAAATGTAAGTTCTAGCCACTAAAAACATTCATAGAGTGGCAAGCTGTTTTCACTGCAGAGTATGAAGCTATCCTCAAACATCTCACACAGTTTTGCAATTTACTTTGTCTAAAATTGGAACATAAGAAGCACTTTTTCAAATCAAAACCTTAGAGGGAGATTGGAGGAAAAAGAAAAAAGGCAGGGGGGGAAGAGGGAGCAAGAAAGGAAGCAAAATTAACACCAAAACTGCAGTTCTCTACCTGTTTTGCCTGTAGAAAATGGTACTTACATTGACCAATCCAAAATAGTGCTCATTGATTGGAAACTGCTCTGGACCAATGTCTTTTTCCAGAGCAGAGGCATTGGTGCCCTAAAAAAAAAAAAAAAAAAAAAAAAAAAAAAGGAAAAATCTCATTAGTCTCCATTTTAATTTAGGATTCTAAAATAAAACCATGGACAGCATTGAGATAGAAATGCACATTTTCCTTTCAGCTACAATTAGCTAAGCTAACCCTGCCTTACTAATGTGCAAGCACGACATTCATACGAGCCAATAAAAGTATTTGCAGTTGTAAGAAGTGGAGCAGCCGGCCTGTTCTTGGAGAGAATAGGTCACAAGAACAGTGGWTCTCCCCCACCAGACATCTCCCCTTTATTCTGACTTTGGACATGAGCAGCCGGAGCCCATTACTCTCTTAACACTCTCATAAAGACACGTGTTGATCTTAGGCAAATCCCTTAAACTGGTCTCGGATCAGCCAGTTTCTTGATTCAAGGCATGTTTTCTAAGCATTACTGAAACTCCCTCTGCAGCCCTTCAAATTCACCAGCAACTTTTAACAGAATATGAACAGAATATGGACTAGCAACAGCATCACAAGTGTTAAAAGGAAGGAAAAACACACTTTCCATTTTGCTCTGTCGAGCAWCAAAGAATATGCCAGTCCAAGCACTGTCACATCTCTCCCTCACTGTGTTGCCACTGTGTGGCATGTTCAGCTGACCTTCATTCTAGTAGCAAAGTGCCTTTCATGGCTCTCTGTAAGCGCGGTCTCTATTTGCRCATGTATTTACTATGGATATACCACGCCTTAATAATTTCCACCACACATGCTCTGGTTTCCTCAAGAGCAGCTGACAMATCTATTTTCATGCAACATGTAAAATAGCACTGTAAACATGCCAGCACATAAAATATCACTATCTTTTTGTTCTTTATCAGCTGCATCCSCTATCATTTATTTTGTAGTTTTGTGTAAGGGTGAGGTCACATTGCACTTAGACAGGTTCCTTCCCACTCTTATGCACAAAAAAGAAAAAAAAGTCTGCACAAGATTATTTTCCCTAATACTCGGAGAATTCCCTTGATCTGGAAATTCGGTTGATATAATATTGGCTCAGGGAGGTCATCAATCAAAATTTTCAATCTTGCTGCTAATCAAATCCAATAGTTCTGATGTTGCTTCCCATTCTCTCCCCAAAGCTCAATTTGCACTTCATTACTGCACCTACCATCAGCATTGCTTGCTATACTAGATTATTATTTCATGTCAGCTCATCAAAAGAAGCCAATTTGCTCATTTTAGTCAACAGAATCAGTGGTGTGAAAATCAGCACAGGTGTTCATGGAGAATTTGCAAGCCTTGGAACCAAAACAGCTCCCTTCAAATCAGCCGCTTTCAAAAAAGCTCCAAATATAAAATATTTCACATCTCCTTCTCATCTCCTTTACCCGCTTCTCCCTCACAGATGCACAGCTCATTGCTCAGCCCAAGTATATGTAACTTCCCAAGTGATCCGCTTAAGACCCAAGAAACTCCACGTTCCAGGTGACCAGAAGCAAAATTTATGGGATGYGCTTGCATCGCTACCAGCTTCCACTGACCCCCAGCAAGAAACYCATAAAAAGGAACAATTCAGATGAAGGAATTACTGGCTGTATTTCACCAGAGATGGCAATGTCATATGTCATCTTCATATTAATGCTCACTGTATAGCATTCAGATCAAAGCAAAGATTTCCTTGCAGCATATATTTAGGGTTCAAATCAAGTTCTCTAAAATAAGAATGAAGTGGGTCTTTCTTCAATTTGGTAATTTCTTTTTCCATAGTAACAATTCTTCCTTGGGAATTGATAGAAAAATTATGTCTCTAAAAATTAACATGCTACTTTTTTATGACCTGTAAGTTAGAGTAAGATGTTAGACTGGAAGGTGGCAAGTGCTAATTAATTACTTCTGTTTTGACCATTTGACTTTTTTGCAGGACTAGAGGTTCTTACTTGACAGGATGCCACACAGTTTTGACAAATCTTTCCTGGCATTTAAATTTCCCTCTACATATTATGAGAAAGAACAAAAATCAGGATTGACCTGATAAAACTACCATCAAAATCCAAACGAATCCACAATATGCACTATCTAGCTAGTTGTCATATAAACTGCAAGACTGAAATTGTTTTTCCATGTGGAATCTAAAAACAGCCTATGTACTTTGCAATTAATTTCCAAAGGGCATACTATTGAAACAGCATGTAGTTAGTAAGAGCTCATCACAGAGGTCTACCTTGCAACCCAAAATCAGGCMCTGGCTGTTGCAACTGCACAGCAAAGCAGTAGGTCAGTTCTCCAGTGGAACAGGGAAGCTAAAATTCCGTCTTGGAACAAGTTGACATAATCCCTATTGACTTCATTGCTTGGACCTTCTTATATAAAGTATATCAGACTGGCTTATTTAAAGTGTACAAAAAGATACTGTTGAATTTATTGGGGAAAAAAAAAGTAGAACAGGAAGAAGCACAGCAACGTAATATTTCAAGGTAGGATATATTTCTTACCTGGAGGGAAAAAAGCAAACTATTTAGAAAACCAAACCATGCCACACTGCATTAACTTACACATATTTTACATGTTTTGTATAAGAAGGCTCTTCATGAAGCCGTGAGGGCAGGAGCAACATGTTGGGAAATTTTACAAAGTACACTGGAACATACACACTCAAATCAGGTTTAAACTGGATGTTAGATAGGCAGTAAAATGATTCAGAATTCACTTCAGCTGGCCACATAAAACAGGAGAAAATATTAGCCTGTTATAGTTAATATACAACTACAATCAACCACAACTATTTAACATGGTTTTAAACAGGTTTGTCCTTGTCCAAACACCCAGCGAGGGATTTTGATCTCTTCTGTGAGTGAAAATCTGCCTAAACGTTTTAATATAATCCATTTTTTATGTTTTTAAAATGGCTGTRTGCTTCAGCTAGACAAAATACCCTTGCACTGTTAAATCTATTGTGCTTTCATTAAACACAAGCGTTGCAGGGCAGCCACAGACCTCAAAGCGAGAAGAGCCCAGGGATGTAATTCAATAACCTGGAATGTGGGACTGCTAAATTCACACCTGTGCACAGAGATAACAAAGCAGCCTAACTGGTTCTTGAAAGAACCCCTTAATGAGGGAAACGCACCAAGTCACCTCGGCGGTCAGACCTCCTGGGAACGAGAACATGGAAACGCTTCCTCTAATGTATTCTGGGGTGTTAGTGATCTTTGATTTCTTTGAAGTTCTGCCATTAAATTCAACAAGCAGGATTTAACCTTTATTTTTTTTTAATATACTCTCATAAAATAGCAGAGATGAACTGTTGAAGACTTAGTCAAGTTTGGGTCAGTTTGGGCTAAATCAGACTTCTACCATATCATCATTGCAATAGGTGTTCCAAAAATCCACGTGACCTGGACATTTCCCTCTGGTTATTTTTCCCTGTTTTAGCCTCATGGATAGGCCAAACAGAATTCATTTCACTTGAAATTTTGGATAATGTAATGAAGAACTTAACTTGTGTTTTGCACCACAGGAATGAGATTACGTAAAAAAATCCTGTTCCTTTGCACGTCAGCATGTATACAAAAGAATGGTGTGTGAAAAAAGTCAACAGATTAGATCATTAAATCAGAAAAGAATATAAATTTTACGGGAAAAGAAGACCTGTCTTACTCAACTGTAAATATGGAACAAGCACAGAGTATCATGAAAACCTCTTGTAGCTATCATATTTTCTCCTATTCCAGTCATAAATTCTCTYAAATTACAGCATTATATAGTTATTAGAAAATGTACGTGTGTTTTGAGAAGAATAACTCTCCTCCAAGGTATTGCACCTTTTCAATGCCACAGTTTTTGGGTTACAAAAAAGTCCATTAGTTGACATACTCAGAAAAAAAATGTTTGTATCTGCCATATGTGGGGACACTTTCTACATATGCTCCCAATGGTGCAGTGGCTAAAACAGGTTTATACTGAGATACAAAAAATATTTTTGTTAGGTTTGGTCTGACYTCACCAATGATCTCGTAGAGAAGATGGTCACAGCATGAAAAAAGGACATTAAATAAAGTACTGAAATGAAAGCTATGCAAACATTTTTTTCTTTCTCACAAAACTAAGCTATCTTAGCAAAATAAACTCAAATACAATAACTGTAGAGAAGATGAGGAATGAAAGCGAGAGAATATGAAACTTGTTAGGAAAAGATGAACAGACCTGACTTTGTAGCATGAGAGAGCTATAAAAATGGCACTAATTTTCTAGAAATTTGCAAGCGCTTGGTTTAAAATCTATTAATCCAGTAAAGAAAACAAAAGGTTTCTGAAGTAATCTGTAAAAAAAAAAAAAAATCAAAAAGGTATTCCTCCAGTAAACAGAAAAAAAGTATGAATGACCATCAAACAAAAAAAAAATAGAAAATAATAAATAGAAGATATATCATCGCAATAAAAGCTAAAATCGTAAGAGAAAACACATGCAAAATTGAACTGTGAAAACAGAGATTTAAAAAATACATAAAGAGCAAGGGATGAGTGAAAGGAGATGACAGATCCACAAAAAAARGGGGGGACTTCAGACCATACAGCTGCAAACTGGATATTTTTGCCTTAGTATTCAAGGAAAGTGAGAACAATGTGCTAGAAATAGAGTTATTTCCTGGAGGGAGAAAATGAAAACTTAGAAGAAACTAAGGGTGATGTTGGGGCTGGTAGAGAAGAAACTAGAGTAAAAATAGAAATGGCTTCAGGGGCAGGCAGCCTGAATTTCAGAATTTCAGAAGACACAGCATATGGGAGTGAAGGGAAAAGGAAGATAGGGAAGGAGGTGTCAGGCCTCCTGGCCAACAAATGGCAGTGATGGATAACTGCAAGAAGAGGAAGCAACTTTAAGTAACATTCAAACTCAGYTCTCGGAAGCAACGTGAAGAAAAAGAGAGGAAGGAAACAGCAAGGGATACCACATTGTRCTGTAGAGTTGCAAGTTTTCAATGCCATGGATACATTCCTTATCTTTGGTGTGGGACATCCCAYCTCTACCT